GTCTCTTCAAGTTACGAAGGTAAATTTGTCATCAGAACGATACTTGGATACTAATTTATAGGGGAAAACGGAAAGCAGCCGGAAGAGAACATGTATCCCTGGGCAGATCTATAAGCCGGACAAACGAATTTCGACACTCAAAGTTATGATGTACTGGTCACAATCTGAAACGTAAATTTTAACTTCTAACTGAATTCGGAACTTTACATGAGTCACTGAACAAGAAGCTTGGTAAATTTATTAAAATTCGTTAAAAATTGTTGCAAAGGAATTTCTTTCTTGAAAGCTGCAGTCTGATGTACAGCTTTAACGTCGATATACTACGAAGAACAGGAATCCTTCCAGAAGATTTGTCACTGTGAAGTGTAAGATCGACTGTAAGAGAAGATCTGCTGGCTCCTCATTCGCAGCGTGGAATACGCTGAAAATGAAAAAGGCGGCGAAAGGGGGCGGGAAGAAAGGGTGTATACCATCGGCAAAGATAAAAGACAAAAGCGTGCCATCAGTCTGTTACACAGCAAATCCAGTGAGTTGCTGCAAGTTCCTGATTGCAGTCAAAAACGATGGGCAGAGCACTTCGCAGAGCTTCTCAATATGTCTCTTCCTCTGGTAAATCTCCAAATGGAAGGAGAAGCTGGAAACAATCTAGGCCGACTGCGCACACCATCGATCGAAGAATTCCGAGGCGATACAACTCTGCCGAAACTCGAAGTCCCGTGGACACGACGGGATTGAGGCGAAAACCCTGAAGTGCAAAGGTAAAGACTTTCTCTGTTGGATCGATTCGTGTTTTGACCGCATATTGCGAAATTCGTCGATCCCTGAAGACAGGTAGAAGGGTGTGATAATCCTGGTCTTCAACAGTGGGAGTCTTCAACAAAGCTGAGTCAACTATTTTAGAGGAATCACTCTGCTGCCGGTGCTGGAGAAGGTCTTCGCGTCAATCATTCTTGTATGACTAAGGGAATCCACCGCTCATTCGCTGCGAAATCAGGAAACAAACTTTCAGAGTGGGCACTCATGGAAGGACTGCATCTTTGTGCTTAAGCAAATCATTGAGCAGTGATGGAGCTTCAGAATCACTT